GGTCTACTGACGTGTTATTAGCCAGTAAGAGATCCAGCAACCAAGCATCGTACCGCCGTGTGCAACATTTGTAAACTTCCACCACAGGTGAGAAAAGAAAAAAGATAGTTCTTTGGATGTATTGCTGCTGTGGGAGGCTCTCTCAAGGACCGCGAGCTTTGGGAAGGGGCAAAACTAAGAGCGGGAGATAAAGGCAGGCACAGGAAAGGAACAAGTGAATGTACACGACTGATCAATCAGGGAGACAGAGCAAGGTTGATGAAAGACAGCACTAAGACAACAGGATTATTCTATCCAGAACTGTACAAAATAAAAGTCCAAACCAAAAGCAATACAGGGCTTTAGATTCAGTGCCTGGGGCCCAACAGAAGAGTTGGTGAGCTCAGAAACAGTGACAAGATGGGCATGCCTGCTTTGATGCAATCCCCAGAGCCCTTGCCTTTTCACTTGGATTGCCTTCTTCTGAGACCATCCAGAGATCCCTGATCTGACTGAGGTCCCACTCAAGAGACACTGTGTGAATGCACACAAAGACCCAGGCTCTAATGTTAAAGAATGATTGATTCCAATTTCACTGCGCTTCATACCCTCTCCTCAGCTGTCATATAGGCTAGCAAGGCCTGGCAGAAGCGCAGCATCTTCCAAACCAGAGGAGCAAGCGAAATGCCTTAGACATGCAACATGCCACACGATTAACTTTGGCACATCTGGGACCTTGCAGGACCACCAAGAACTAGAAGCTCACATGACTGACTCGAAAGTGTAATAGCTGTTGTATTACATGCCAACATGTGCTTGGAAAGACAGACAGTAACAAATATACTGTCATATTGGCAGGTCTCCTGTTTTCACCAGAGGATAAGCAGAGTGTGTATAAGTTGGCCAACTCCTGACCTGCACCATACCCTGGTGTGCACTTCAGGTGCACTTGTGCAAGTCAGTTAAGGGGAAGGCAAGAGTTTTAACCAAGAAGTCTTTGCTGGAAGAAAGACAGGAGACACCTCTCCTGTACCAGGTGAATTGCTGCAGGATGTGAGTACACGCTGCAGTACAAAAATGAGCAGGCACAGAAAGGAAGAAGACAGCAGGTCATCAGTTAGGTTTTGAAAACCAGCATAAAGTGTATGCGACTGAAGACGACAGGATGGCTTCTGTATGCACGTGGCCTTCAGGGATAATCCCTCTGGGTACACACGAGTCAGTAGATTTAATCTGGATTACACCTGGGGAGCAGCAGGCAGTACCTGACTCATGCTCAGCAAAGACTCAAAGGTCTTTGTCCCAGGGAGTAAAGCTGCTTGGAAGATACACAGCAGGATTATTCAACAAGTGATGAGAAAACAGTAAACGCGATGCTTCATGCCACCCGGGTCAAACGCTGCATTTACTGCCCTCCATCTCCATGTATTGACAAAGTTCATCAAGAAGCTGCAGAGTTTGGGGCTGGGCAGTTTTGGGGGTTGTTGTTTTTCCTCTTGGTTCTCAAGGGGCGAAAAGTTCAGCAAAGCCAACAGGGACATGAGAACAGAGGTGGGAGGTATATGTTGCAACAAAGCCTTGAACTATGTTCCTCCAGCACTGTAGGCATTCAGCTGAAAGGAAAAAAACTCTGATAAAGCAAGGAATTCTGCAGAGACAGCAGTGTCTCCCGAAGGTCAGGCAGGAATGAAAAGGAAAAGGGGGAAAAAAAGAAAAGAAAAGAAACTGCCTCCCCCCCATAAATTAGCCAGAACAAAGGCAGGCAGGACCAGCTACAAATGTTACTCACTCCCACTTCACAATAAATGCCTACATTGCTGCCGAAAAGAACTTTATTTTTTACAAAAGCAGGGTTTCCAAACTCTCCTCTGCTTTTTTTATCTATCCATCCTAAAAATAGCAAAAGCTTATTGAGGCAGGTTCATTAGCCAAACAAATTTGGGGCAATACGCTTCCCTAGGCACAAATGATTTTCAGTGGAAAGGCTTATTATAGGAGGAAAAAGCAAGGGACATTTCCTCTGTTCTCCCAAACAGAAATCTGGTTAAGAAAGGAAAAAGCTGATTTAAGGGAGAAAATGTTGTGGTTGCAGCAGTTGCTATCATGTCTGGGAACAACGATGCCAGCTTACCCAGCCTCTCCAACCCACATACCTCGACCAAGACCGAGGCGTATCACCTCTCAGGTGAGAATATATTCAGCCCCTTTAATCCTTGGCTTTTCTGCAGAAAGTACCAATATAAGGGTGTGATTCTTAGTAGGAGTACTAGACATGACCTACGCACACAGGAAAACTCAGTCTCTGCCCTTTCACCAATTAGGCAGCTAATTTTTCCATAGGCATTGCAATAGAAATGGGTCCTGGGGAGGGATCTGAAAGACAGGGTCGCTGTTTTATAGACAAGTCCAAAGATTAGGGTGATAGACAAGGGTGGTTATGAACATGGGGGGGCAGGTGCTGACACAAATACTTGTCTTCTAGGAGCTGAATTGAGATGTGGCAGCCAACTAGGTACAGAAAGTACAAGAGTTGTTATTTGCAAATGTTTTGGTCACGGCAGACCCTGAAACTTAGAGTGAAAGACCACGTGTCAGTCCTGGGAGATGTCCAGAAAAAAAGAACTCACTTGATTTGCAACTCCCCCCAAAAGTGGGTGTACCGCACACAAGGGCTGGAAATGCAGAGCTGGACCCTTGTGTAACAACGCTCTGACCTGCCGCATGAATTAGAAACCCGGCTCTTTGCTGGGCCTGAGCATGCTACAGACTCCGGCACTTTGCTCCCGGGAATCACTTCCCTTTGAGCAATGTGGATGGAAAAGCTCTCATACCCCCCTCATTCCTCATCCGGTTTCCTTTCAACAGTCAGTAGAGGGCACAGTCTGACTGGTTACAATCGCTCGCCGTGTTTACAAACAGCATTTTGGGAACAACAACAAAAAATCTTCCATCTGTGCAGGGGGGTCAGATTAGACGACCCTGAGATCCGTCCAGCCCTGTAATTCTATGAAGATCCGCAGGAGCCAGCGTACCAGCTGGGATGCCATTTCTGTCCTGTGTACCTCATGGGAGCTGACAACGTAAGCTGGCAGAGGACTGTAATAAACAGCTGAGATAGCTCAGATCCCAGCATAAAGCCCGCAGCTCACATTTGCCATTGCAAGCCATAGCCCGCATGCACAGCCAGCAGAGAGGGGGAAAAAATAGAAGGCATCAATTTGTTCGCCTCTCATGAACAAATGTGATTTTCCTGTTGCAAGCAATATGCCCTGCTGTTAAGGAAGTGGTATGCCCCGATTATACAATTTAAGGATATGCCTGTTCTCCCATGAGCTAAACATATATTTGAGCAAGGTTGGTTTCTTTGCAAGCCTTCAAGTGGTTTCAGGCATTTCCCTGTAGATGATAAGAAGTCCGGGTGGGAAAGAAGAAGGGACAGGAAGCAATAGTGACCTACAGCAGGGTCTCTTTGCATACGAACTGAAAACAAAATGGCATTTGCTGCTCATCATTCAGCAAAGTCTGCTCCTAAAACAAGCACTGAACTTCTCACTAGCCCTTGTTTGAACCGCTAGGGTGTCTCTCACACCCCTTCCAATGTCTGCCTAGACTAACAGAAATGTCATTAACTTTTAGACGCGCCCATCTTTGATCATCACAAGTCTTCCCGAGGCTCTCAAATTTCTTTCCAAATCGCATCCTCCTGAATTCATTACAGGCAGCTCTCCGTAGGCTGTGATTGAGTTATCCGATGAGAACTGGCTAAAGAGATCAAGATAAGAAGGTGGATGTCTGCTGCTTTGCAACATTATTTACTTGGCCCTTAGGTTTTGATCAAACACAACAAAGAGCTGAATTCAACCATGACTGACTTCTGTGCTGCTAACACAGGTCCCAGCAATGATTTTAAAGAGGTAAAATATGGAAGCTTGTACATGAAACACACCCTGACACTTTTATAAAGGGAATGTCATGCTAGCATACAGAGACACGACACTCTTGCCATGGGTTTACAACAGGCTTGCAATGCACCTGTGGCAAAGTGGGACTCCCCGACTAGCCACAATGCTAGTTGCCTCACTTGCCTTTGGGCATGCCCCCCCCCACTGACTCGCCTGCCATGCCTTGTTATTGATTAATTGATCAATCTTAATTAGGCGGGAGGCTGCCCATTTACTGCCCTGATGCCAGGGGGCACTATCTGCAGCTCCATACCCCCCCTACACTGCAGCCCATGCCTTGTGTCAAGCACCCCAAAGGTGCTCCACCACAGTAATGATTGTTCCCTAATGAAAATGGAGGTTTTTTTAGAACAATTAATCTCACGGGACTCTATAAGCACGTGGAGGGTCACATTTCACCTTTATTGTTAATAAAAGACCCAAAAAAATACATTCTGGACATGAACGCATGTTCTGTAGGCAGCTGTTATTATAGCCTGAGAGAAGATGGAGGAAGGGACCAGGGTACAGGTGTGTCCCAACACAAGCAAGGCAGTCTTGCAGCCTTTAAGCTTGAGTTTATTTTTAACATCAACTGTATTTTTAACATCATAAAAACACTAAAACGAAGTCGTCAGGATGTGATGCGTTGTTGAGCTGATCTGGGGCCTGCTATTTCACAATGGATAAACGAGAGAGTCAATTTTTGATCTGTCCTAAGGCAAGATGCAAAAGCGGCTCCCCTATCAGTTATTTAGAAAGAAAATTAATCCACTTGTACTGAAATTTGTGGAAGAGGCAACAGCCTTGCATTATCACTCACAAATCCAGGTACGAAGATACCACAGCTAAGTACGTATGCTGGCTTAGCATTGGGTTTTCAAGAAAGAGCCGCCGGCTGGGGCTGCATCGTTGAAAACCACCACCTGCCTCAAAGAACAGCGATGTATGTGCATGACTTGTTACATCTATTGGTAGAAAACGTGAACACCGAAGCCAGCAAAGGAATAAGTAGCAGAAACCAAGAGAAAACTGCCAAAACCCACTCCCTCCCTCAACCGCAAGAGGAGACATACTCACCCTTCCCCAGCTGAACGAAGCCAAGGATGATGATCAAGGCAAGCGCCCCCAACTTGGCTGCTGCAAAGGCATCCTGGACGCGAGTGGCAGCTTTCACACTGTAACAGTTCACTGCTGTGAGCAGCACTGGAAAACAAGAGACAGGAGACAGAAGTCAGCTTCCACTGCAGAACGGGCAGCGTACCATGGGACGAACCACCGGCTTGTGCTTCCTCTTAGTCAACACACGCCGATTCCTAAAAAGGAAAAAAAGGAACCCCTCAAAGCTCACAACCGTGCCCAGCTGCGCCTGTTTTACAACTTCCCACTTCCTGTACCACTCACCCGAAAACAGACAACTTTGTGCCGTATACCAAATGCCACTCCGAAGGATAGCGTACCACTGATTTCAAAGTTTGGCATATTTTGGCTATCAAGTTATAAGTCATGACCTGTCCAGACGAGGGGATAAAAGGGGCATGGGTTGCAAGCCTCCCTTGTCCTTGTCTTAGGTTTTGTGGCATGTGGTCTCTATAGACTGGAAGCTCACTGGGGCAGACACCTACCTGCCTAGGACTGAAAACAAAGACTGCTACTGTTATTATTAAGCATGTGGCTTCAATCCCCACTAAGCCAATCCAATTACTCTTGTGATCGAGCCTAGTTGCATATAATCGCCACGTACATACAGCCCCCGAGGCTATTTCTAGCATTGACAACATATACTGTATTACTAATGGCCCCGAGGCCACATTGTGCTTTTACTGTACACACACGAAGGGACAGTCCCTGCCTTGAAGCACTGGCAGTCTCAGTACACAAGACAAGAAAGTGTGGGAAAGGAAGGAGAAGCAGCCTGCCCCTGAAGAAGGTCATTGGCAGAGCTGGGAAGAGAACCAAGGTCTCCCAAGCCCATGTCCGGTATCTCATACTGCCTCCAGACACAGACACAAAGCAAAAGAAAACTCTCACGATCAAAAAGACGCGTTTACAACAGGACGCAAATCACATAGCTCTTTTCGCCAGGTTGCCTTTCTAGTCTTTTCCTAGAAAGATGCTCAAGTAGTAGTTAGTAGGACCAGGGTTAATTGTGAGCCGTACACTAAATGCAGTCCATCCTATAGGGCGCTCCTTCTCTTCCTCCCTGACACCAAGCACATCCGCTCTCTCCCATGCACAGGGCGCTTTCGCCAACCTATGAGCTTGGACCCGGCACCGTATCCGGCTCTTCCTAGCAGGAAGGTAGCTACCCTGCTCCTCAAAAAACAGCCGATTGCAATATCTGCCTTTATCTGCCACACTGCATCCAGGTTAATTCTCATCCTTTCATCTGCGGACCCTGGTTTATATTTTTAGTCTTTGGAAGGGTGGAAGGGAGGCTCCCCAAATAGGCTACATAGAGTCCTGCCTGTACCAGCGTCTCCTGCAGCACAATTAGAAAGGAAAAGAAAGGAAGCAGAATACTACCAAGAGCAGTAGTGACACTGGTGATCATTCGAGCACAGCATGCCGGCAGCTGTCCCGATCGCTGCACTGAACTCACCGGCTTTCCCAGTGGAAAGGATGGGAAGGCAGCACTGCATCGAGCATGCCCCATCAGCTAGCATTAAAGAAAGTTAATGGGGAAAGTGCCTGCATATTGCCAGGGGAACTGACTGCCAGCCCTGGGAGTTGGGAGGGTTATGCTGGCATGCCAGCAAGGCAGACTACCATTATTTTAAAGAGGACTGTCTATTCCTCCCTCCTTTCAATGAACAGAGGCAGTGGAGTTGGTTGCCCAAAACATTGTCCCCAAGGGGCCTTCAGGCAAGGGTGATCCCACACGCTGCCCAGCCATATGCAGATCAGCTCTTCTTTTTCTATTCATCCCACCGGTTTTCAGAAGCAGGGATGCTTGGTGTGCCATAGGGACCCTACACTGCCCTTCCCCGCAAGCCAACATGCACAGTGCAGTTTGTAAACCGTGATCACGTCTTCGCCCACCTTGACTCCAGATTTCTTACAGTGCTGCCACAACTTTTGGAGTCCCAAGCAGGGATTGGGACCCTGCTACAGGAGGCATCACACAGACTATGAATGAGCTGCCTTGGGCTATGAACAACTCTGCCCCATCACCCTCCAGAGGAAGCAGACATGCGTGTGATGCTTTCTGCAGACACGGGGGCGGTTACTCCATTGCAGGGTTGGGTAGCAGCATCAAGAGGGGGAGAGAGGAGGAAAGCCCCACGGCTGAGACCTGGAACAGCATATTCACTCACACACCTCTCCGGCCTGTTTGTCTGAAGCAATTAAAAAGATGACCTGCCTCCTCTTCTGCCACTGGAAACAGCCAGCCCAGGGTAGTGGGCAGACAAGTCATCTAAGGTTACGTCTGCACCCACTGGGGCAGGCAGGAGGCTTTTCAGCCTGCATCACGGTGCACGCTATTCAGAGCGGACAATCCTCCATCTCCAGGCCCCCCAGCTGGCAGACCCTGAGCCAACGGGTCCTCCAGGCCATGACACAGGATATTTTATATGCCGGCTAGTAATGCATTCGCACTAAATAGGGGCTGCCAGCCAAGGGTCTGACTCAGCCTCAAAGACTTCCTGGGGGGTGGAAGAAGGAAAAACCAACACACTGAAATGCGAATCAGTAAAGCAAAGTGTGGAGGTGGGGAGAGAGGGGAGGGCTTTTAAATATTCTCGGCACGTTTCTTCCCCCCCCGACTTGCAAGGGGCTGGGGTCTGACCTGCCGCGTGACAAAGCAACGTGCTGGGTCTGCTTGTATCGCATCCAGGGGGACTACGTTCAGGCAGTGAATCCAGCAGCACACACCCAGTGCCCCAGCGATCAGCCCCGGCATGTCTGAACGCGACTGCGCCTCTGCCCTGTCACACCCGGTGGCTGACTCAGGTTTCTGGTACAGCCCAGGTTCGGCGCCTCGCACAGAACAGGCGTGGATCTGACATCAGGGCTCGGCCTCGCTCTTGCTGCTCGAGCGAACAGCGAGGGTGATGGGATTTCCTGGTGACTCACACTGCCGCTATGCAAGGGACAACTGCATCATTCATTCACAGGGTGCTGAGGCTCCCTTGTAGTCACCGCATGGTCGTGACATGGGGCAGACCGCATGGGTTTACCCTCCAAACACCGCGCACTCAAGGGCTGCAACAGGAGCTTGAAGGCTGAACCAAATTAGTGAGAAACAGAGGACAGGTCAAACACTGAATCGGGAACAGACTTCCCAAAGAGGGGGTGCAGTTCCCAACCCTGGAAGTCTTCAAGAGGAGCCTAGACAGACGCCTTGCTAATCTCAGCACTATTCCTGCCTGGAGCAGGGGGTTGGACGCGATGATTTTTCGAGGTCCCTTCCAGCCCTTCATTTCTATAATCCTATGCACACGACTGCATGATAACTAATAGATTCCCCCCCTTAAAAGGTCTAGCTTCTGGAGTCATGTGAATGAGCAGGAATATTTCAGCTGAAAGGAAAACACCCCAATCTGCCAGCCCTCAGGGTGGTAGAGGAACGCCTGAAAGATGTGACCCCATTTGGGGGAAATGACCGCAAACCAGAAGGCAAATAAAAAGGACCCCAAATGAGGTTTTTACTTGGCTTGCTTTAGCTTTCTGTTTTTTAACATCCGATTCTCAGGCCAAGCCAGTGGTTCTGTGGGGTCTGGTTGGAGACCATGAGCTGTCTCACTTGAATTGGCAATGCACATCATGTCAGGACTCCTTGAACCCCTCTTTTGTGGGCAGATGTGCAACAACACAGGCTGCAGTGGTGCCACCCTGTCTTTCTGGGCTCAGCTCCCCACCTCGTGCAACTGAACTTCCATGGGGGAGGAGGGAACTGCTCTGGCTGACCTGCTGCGACTTCCAGGAGACAGCAAACAGTCAGGACCAGTGCATGTCATACTGAGCTGAAAAGCCCTCCTTTTCCACAACTTTGAACCCTTATCACAGCTGTTTAGCTGCAGACTGTCTCTGGAAGATATAATGCACCGCTACACCTCCTGAGAAAGGCCTGACCTTGAGCCCCTTCGGCAGGAAGAAAAGCAGGCAGCGCTATCAAAGCTCAGCAGGATTACGGCGGAGAGATAGCTACCCTATCACCCTGCTGCAACCGATTGCAACGCGTCTGCCTTAGAGGGTTTTCTTAGAAGGGGCACTGTCATGTTAGCTCTTTTATAAAGCGCTCCTGTCTTAAGTTATGCCTACGGAGAAGGGGCAGGGGACATCCTGAACTCACAGTATATTGGGCATTAACAGAGTAAAAACTCAGACCTGTGGTCTGCACACAGGGCTGAGACCTCCTACATTCAACCACCAGCTTGCAATATGCTAGGGTCTGATGCAAGCCCCAACTTCTGTGCCTCAGTTTCCCCAACTGTAAAACAGGAACTTCACCACACAGCTGTCACAGAAAGTAATGCCCGCAGAGTGCTTTCAACGTCAGAGGCGCTATGCAACCTGCTAAGTAAATGTTATTATCTCTGCGACCAGAGACACAAACACATAATAGACACTCAGATAAAACAGCATCTGTTCATTTTTATGAGTCCTGAGGACACATTTCGGGGCGTTCGACTCCTTAGGCTGTCACACTTGTAACAGGATGGGATTCTTTGATGCCTAAAGGTTTATTCCTTTGATTTGAGAAGCTATCCATTTGGCAATGGGCTTTGAGGAATAGTCATTTACCAAGGGAAACTCTTCCCTTCCATCTCCGTTCCACATGCATTAAGCTAATCGCTTTACGGGAACAAAAGGGGGGTAGGTGCCTGCCTTTCCAGCGGAGGGGAGCTCTGGTGGCCACCCCAGCACCATGCACTGGCTCAAAGCAGATTTAGTCATCCCAAGAATAAGAACTTGAGCTCAAGCTGAATTTACACAGCACTCTCTCCCCGACGGCTTTACATAATCAGGATAATGGGAGCCACAAAGCCGCTGGGAGGACAAGTGGAAGGGAAGAGGCAGCAAGCCAGCTTGAAAATAGGGTGATTTTTCTTTTCAAGATATTAAAAGGGCCTGCTCACAAGTCTCCATGCACCACAGCAGACCTTAATACAGCTACTCTAGGGGTTGCTTGAACTGGGTGAGGGGGCAGTTCACGGCTTTTGAGGCTGGTAGGTTTTGCAAGCACATTCGAGCAAAAGGAC